CCATCAACTTGCACGGCTTGAAATCATAGAATAGTGTAATAAAGGAATTAGGAGATCATCTTATTGGGACTGCAGAAGCTACTGAATCTATAGCATTGCCAATTCACGTAATACATAAGAGAAATAAAGAGTCTTTATTAGAAGCTGATTGTCTGCAGAAGCAATTCACACAACGGCTAATCAGATTAGGGATGTTGATGCATGAAGGGCAGTTGCAGTGAAAGGCGAAGAGGTCATTCTACAAGGAGCTCACAGATGTCAACTAGAGCATGGGAAACTTTAAGAACGAGGAGAGGCTATTGACGATTGAGGAAGATGCTCAGGCTTGGCATAGGGCAACTTAGAATTGTGCCATTGTTGTTCAATCTGAGAACTGGGATCTAGTGTCCAGCTCCTTCAATGACCTTGTATTTGGTGAATATTTAAGATGGGATGAAGTTATGAATTAGAAAAAAAAAATAGGTTAGATTCGAGTGAAGTTAGGTTAGAAGTCAATTAAGTCAAATCAGATGATTCTTATATTGAATGATTTTTTTATGAATTGGATGAATTTGTAATCATAAATGAAGTATATGGATGAAATGTTGTTCAAAGATGAATTATCATTCAAGGATGAATTTTTATCAATACATGAAATTTAATAAAATAAATAATTATTATTATTAAAAATAAATTAAATAGATAAATAGATTTTTCAATGCATGAATCATTGAGTGACTTATTGTTATAATTGTGAGTTGGTGGTGAGGTTTTTGAATAACTACTTAGATGATTTAAGGAGTCTCAAGGATGAGTTAAATTGAATTAATCAAGAGTTAAAAATTCTAAAATTTATATAGTTAATTCACTTGTTGTGAAATAGAATAAATTTCTAATTAGTAGAGGTTTATTTTAGCTCACAACTATGTGGCAACATTCTGTAGGACCTCCAATATATGTTCAATTTGCAAGACATGCATCTTAACTTGTAAGGCAAGTTTTTTTTTATATGTGCTACATTAATAACTTGTACCATAAGCTACCAATACATACAATACATAGCTAACTTGTTGGCTAAGTTTGTAATCTACTAATCATTTATAGATATGTATAAAGGTGAAATCACATATATAAAGCTTCTAAAAAGCTTTTTTAGAAATTAATTTACTTTTATCTACTTCTATCTATTCATATTATTTAAGTAATTACTGAAACAAATATATATATATATATATATATATATATTTGTGAGAATACCCTATTAAATAAAGCCATTATTCTTGTATCATCCTAATAGCAGTTGTTTCAAGAATATTTTATTCTATTAGCAGCTAAGAACATGTCTTTAATTTGTAGCACTTCAATAAGCATTGCAAATATCCTTTCTTCACCTTCTTCTTTTAACTTTTTATAATAAGTGGACTTATGTCACCTTATTTTGACAAAATTCCAATCTCTATAAAAAAAATAAAACCATCTACACTCGCAAAGAAGAGATAATACAAAATATTTCTACAACATATACTATTTAAAGGATAGTGTGAAAGTATATAAGTTTAATATAACTATAGTAACTCAAAAAATTGTTTCAATATTGACATATTTTAGAAAGAATGGTGTATTGAAGATGAATTGTAGTAAATAATAATATGTGGTTTGTATAGCATATAAAGTACTCTTTTAGAGCTACCAAATGAGCCTAGGTTGAAAAGAATCCATCAGATAATTATGGAGCTATAACTAATCTAATTTAGAATAATATTGAAACATTTTTTTGACTGTGGTATTTAATTACATATCAGTGCTTTGTAGAACCTCTTTTTGCCTTAATTACTGCTTTCAATTTTCTAAACATACTTTTTATTAACTTTTGGCACAAAATTGCTTCAATATTATTTCATCCTGCAGTTATTCTTTCCTATAATTCCCAAATTTCTTTTGGTTTTATCTTTTAGGTATTGAGCTGGTGGTTAAAATGCTCCCAAAGATGTTCAATGGAATTAAGATGAAGAGACAAAGTAAGCCAATCCATTACTTTAATCTCATGATGATCAAATTACTTCCATGCTAATTTTGAATTATGCTTGGAATTCTTATCTTATTGAAAAATCACCTCTTCTTCAAAAACGTCAGATTCTTCAATATTAGAGAGCAAGTTTTTTTTAAGAATTTCAACAAATTTTTTAGCATCCATCCTTCCTTCAACATCTGCCATTCTTCCAAATCCATTCCATTCCATACAAGTCTATACCATTTTATTTCCACTCCCATGCTTAATTGTTTCTTGGATCTTCTTGTCAAGTGAGGACTGACCTTTTTTTTTTGACATCCATTTTTTGCTATGTGATCCAAATCTATTAATTTTTATCTCATCTATCTTAATAACCCTCTTTCAATCCTCTACAGTCCATTCTTTATACTTCAGAGTAAAATCCAAGCATTGTTTTCAATGAAAGGTAGATAATAGTATTTTTTTTTTTACCATGGCTTTCTTATTCCATTTTTTGAAAATATTTGAAATGATTTGGATTGATACAGGATTATTGATAATATTGTTAACATTTTTAGCAACCTAAACAATATTTTTAGCCTTCCCAATGTTGATTTGGCAAATGATTACTCTTTCATCTACTATAATGAACTTTTTTGGTCTATCTAATTTAGGGTTCTCCCTATTAAAAGTAATTTTTTTTGCTAGCTTAGAGATAGTAGCTTTATTGCAACTAAGTTTAGAACAATTTGGCCATAAGATTTTTGAGAATGAAGAAGAGCAAAGGTGATGTTGTCTTAGAGAGAGCGGAGAATGGATCTCATAGTTGTTCAAAGAATTGTTAAGGACACAAGCATTGCACAAAGAAATATATCAAGATTAAAGACAAAGAATGAGATTGATAGCAAAAGTTGTTCCAAAGATTCCTATTTATACTATAATAAAGGTTATAAAAGTCTATGGTACTTTCTAAGGAAGATTCTAGAAGTTTAAAGAAGCTTCTAGAAGTCTAAAGATATTTTTAGAAGCTTATGGAACTTTTTAAAAGATTATAGAAGATTCTATAAATATCTAAAAGATTTTAAAAATTTACAAAAGATTCTATAAGGTCCTAAAATGTGATAATTTGGAATATGTTTGTGCTAGGAATTGTGATTAATAATGGTACTTTTATAGCTACTAGTAAGCATTAATGATGTCATTAGATTAGTAATAATATTATTATAGTAAATTTTATAATGATAGAATGTTGTAATGTTTGATACCACACTCAAAAAATTGTTTCAATACTACTCCAAATTAAATTGGTTATAGCTCCGTAATTACTTAATGGATTCAATTCAACCTAGGCTAATTTGGTGGCTATAAAAGAGTACTTTATTTACTATACAAACGACATATTATTACTCACTGTAATTCATCTATAATACACTATTCTTTCTAAAATATGTTAATATTGAAATAGTTTTTTGAATCACTGTATGTTGCCTGTAAGGACTAACTCCGACCTTACCTATATTATACAATTGTATTGTGAGTGCTCCAAATTCAAAACCAAGTATTGGATATAAGGTGCCACCTATATGCATACTTCTCTCTTGTTGGCATCTATATCATTGCTACCATGATTATAATCCACAATTGCTTATTTTTATCAAAGCTAGCTTATGGCCATACCAAATCCATTAAGTCTAATAATCTAATTTTTTTATTGATATTTTTGAAAACAAAGGAGGTTGGTATTAAAGAGCAATAGCTGATAGTAGTTTCTAATAAGGTTAACATTTTTTAAAATTTTTATGAATAATATTTATTATACACATTATAAAGGTGAAAGAAAGGAGGAAATGGAAGGAGGGAGGGAGGAGGAAAAAGGAAGAAGAGGGAAGAAGTTGCATAATCCTTAGACTTGTAGCGAAGACTCCTTTTGATATTTTACATGCTTATAAGAGTAAGCCACATTGCGTCTTTGACAAGACGAAGATATCTTTTTAGCAAGAAATTGATAGTTTGTGAAGTATCTTAGTTAAGGCACTAGGAAGCCTTTGTTTGTTTTGAGAATGTTTATATTATAGAGACAAGGATTGAATTAGGCATATAAATTTTCAAATATATCTTTTGCCACCCCAATGAGTGTCTTTGGTATCAACGCACCAAAACGAGAGATTAAACATCTGTTAATATTAATAAGAAATTTCAAAAGATATATTGTAGATATGTTATGTACATTGATTATATACAAAGAATAAAGCTAAGATAAAATGTCATTTAGGTCTATATTTGGTCTCTAAATGAGTCTTGAGATATTAGTTATTGATATCAAACAATTTGTACTAAAATGAGTTGGTAGAAGTATGAAGTTTGCCATTGAGAATAGAATACAAGTGATTTGTTTGGAGAGTGGATACAAATTGCTAAAATCATCTAGTGGATATAAAAGAAGAAAGAAAGATGCATCTTTGCCATTCATCACCACATATTACATTATAGTGTATTGTAGTTCATATCCAAATGGTTTTGTTGATTTGGTATAAAACTTCTTGGATGTTTTTCATCTCTTTTTCTTCATGATGTCTTTTTGTTCTAGTAGCATCAATCCAGGATTTTTCTATAGCCAGCTTTGAGCTCTCATGTCCTATTAGCTTGTTTGCTATTAAAAAGTATGTAGTCATATATTGAGAGTGTCTCATGAGCTCTTTCATATACTTGTTCAACATGTGATGTAATTAGTATTCTAGAGCAAATCTTCTTGTTTGGCCCTCTCAATGATATGGGGAATCATTCCATGCTCCTTTTATTGTTCTATATAAGAATAGAAGCTTATGAATCATTCTTCTTCAAAGTTTGAGATGTTATCACTCTATTGCTTTGTTTGTGACAAATAAAAATATTTGCCAACCAATTTGTGTCTCCATAGTAACACAAAATCTTTAATTTTTGCATTGATTGTATTATATGTGACTTGATTGGCTCTTTTGGAGCATGTGAAATATTGGCCCACATTGAGTCCACATAAGTGTGTATTCCTACCATTGTGCAAGAACAAAGCTGTCCACAAAACCTTAACCTTAAATTCAAATCTTAACAAACCTTATGTCCCAGTTGCCAATGGATTGCAAACATCCAAGAAAGTGGATTCTTGTGATAGATTGTGCACTGTGTGCACATCCAATGGCAAATTGAACCTAATGTGAACTCAAGCACAATTGATCTATGATCCGCCCTCGAAGTTCTCAGCTACACCAAGATGGTGCCTCCAGAGCTTCATTGCGTTCTCTACTTTGTCCTGCTGTTTCTGGTTTGATTTGTCCCTACAGGCAAAGATTTAAACCAAGCCACTCCTGTATCTACTTTGTCATTAACTGAACTGATATGCTAATTCACTGTTGCTGAAAACTGCTTTGTAATTGAATGAAAAAACTACCCAACTTGTTCAACATATGCAGCACCCTAAATGTCTATAAGGAGCATCTATCGCCGTTGGAAATTGAACCACTTAATGGAGAAGGCAAATACAAGCCAAAAGGCAGCATTGAAACCAATCAAAACAGCTGCACAAAATCCAACCATGGAATGCCTGTACCCTAAATAACTTTCCAGGTAATCTTTTACTGTAACATTATCAAACCCTGGAGCTTCTATGATTGTAGTAATGTCACCAAGTTGTGACACAATCAAACCATAAAGAGTCCATGCAACAGGGCTGAGGTAATAGTACCAGGACCACCACACCGGCATGCTCTGCATCAACAACCACATATCCTTGGGTTAGTCAAAATTTTGTAAAAGATAGAGGCAATATCAATGCAATAAAATTTACAGCTAGATTACAATAAAAAAAGCATCTCTTTATATTGTGAAATCATTGTTACCATTTGCATTAAACAATCCATTCAATGGCAACAGAGGGGCTCAGTAGAAAGAAGATGCACACATGTTCCCTTGAATTCTAGGTCGGTCCCAGAAAATAAATGCACCGGGTACACCATAAGGGACCACCTGAGATTTCAGAGATGAAAATATTCCTAATTTTGAGACTTACTGGACGAGGAATGAGAAATCCCGAGAAGAGATTCCAAATAGAGTAAAATGCAGATGAAACAACTGCTGCCAACTGCTGTGAGGATGTCAATCCAACTGCCATCATCCCGTAAAATGTGAAATACGAGAACGTCAAGAACATGAACATAATGTACCAGAAAAATTTAGCTGCATACGAAAATTACAGCATGAATGTCAGTGTCAAAAACGTGGTAGAAAACACAGAAGGTAATAATAATCTAATTTAATATGAATATCATTCCACAAAAGCCTGCCAAATGTTAAATTTCATGAGGACCTTGAGATAATTGAAAGATACAAATGCATGCCAAGTAGCCTGCAAAGACTTCTTCTCTGTAAAATAATTGTTCTCACCCGCAGTCCATTCAAACTGAATCATTGAGTACGTGATAAGTCCATAAATCAAAGTTTGAACTAAAATATAAGGAATCTCGATTAATCCCTGCACAAAAATGGACATAGATTGATTAACAATGTTAGTATCAAATATGATCGTTTCCAGCATCCCACTATATAAACTCAATTCAAATCTATGAGCTTCAATAGTACAATTTATATCTCCACCACAAGGTTTTCGTGTTTCTTACGCTGAGTACATGATATTCTCGTTTCAACTAAAACCAAATGAGGTCTCGAAAATTACAGGAGTTCTTTGAGGTAAAGCTAATTTGTAATTACGGAGCCCCAAAGTAAACAAAGTACTGGCCAGTACAGGTAGACTAATTTTTCATAAGAAGATAATACCTGAGCAAAGGCGTAAGGCAATGCTGCATACATGCCAGCTGCTCGTTCCCTGTAAAACACGGATCTCTCCACTGATACTACTGGTTGTACTCCAGATGCGTTGTTTACTCCCAAGAACAGTACAGCAGCATACATGGCCCCCATTAGGTTAAAGATATCCTGTTGGGTACGCCTGAACCATCCGGTATATATCAACAAGAGAGAAATGAGCTGTTTTATTAACCAAATTTTGAACTAAAGTCACGTATGATATTGAGAAGGATTTGAGGTACTTCATTTCAAAAACAAGCAGAAGTCGTCAATTGCATCATGAAAGATGGAAGTTACCTTTTGGAACCAAGTTTCCAAAAGACAGACCCAAAGATCAGTGCACAGATAGCTGTGACGAAAAACCGTACGGCATTGTAGTAAGGACTACGCCAGTATGACAGTTTTTGTTTCCACAGACATGCTCTAAATTGTGTCCAGGATGATAGTGAGAACGTGGTGGGAAACTTGAGGTCATGTGAACCGGGTTTAGGAACACTCAACATCTTAATCGTTTCATCGTTAATCCTGCAGGAAACATGCTCAAGCTAAAAATTACTGCTTTTTTAAATGCACAACTTCAATCATACAATAAGCTTGAGATAAGTATGAATGGTTGAGCAACAGAAGCATGCATTCCTTACAGGAATAAGTTTGATTCTCTATAAATATCTTCAAATTTTTTTCCGATTCGCAACTCTGCTCCTGTAGTTGTGACCTCTAGCATCCATGTTGCTGGATTATATCCTTCTTGAATTGGAGGAGTACCTTCAATTGCCTGCTCCACAACACCGAATAACGAGAACATTATTAGTCACTCCTGAATAGTGATATTGATGTGCAAAATAGAAGCTTGGAAAGGCTCCGATCACACAAATTTTGAAAAAGAATTGTTTTGAAGGTTTAGGAGCATATTATTTTAGACTTTTTTAATTAAAAAACGCAGATTCTTCGGTGTTTTTGAGAAAATTTCAACCGAAGTACCTGAAAATACTCAACCAAAATCTTTGATTCAACACCAAGAGGTCCGGCATAAACCGTTTGTCCACCACGTTTCAAAAGGAGAAGCTGCATCCAGTGCACAAGATTGTTCGATAATGTTTTCACCTTATCACTACAGGGCATATTCAATTCTGGTGACAACCATCTACAAAGTAAATAAAAGCCAAGTTCGACACTTATCTTGTGTGCTCAAATACGAACACTTAGCAACCTGAACAAATTTGTCATCTTGAAGAAGAGATGCACCACCTACGGAACATCAAATTACCTCATCAAATGCCTCAAAGATGTCAATACTGGGCTGATGAATGGTACAAACGACAGTTCTTCCGGTATCTACTGTATTCCGAATAGCGCGCATGACAATAGCAGCTGCGCGAGCATCCAATCCTGATGTGGGCTCGTCCATAAAAATGATGGAAGGGTTTGCAACTAATTCAATTGCAATAGTCAGACGCTTCCTTTGTTCTGTTGAAAGTCCAGTTGTGCCAGGAAGTCCTACCAGAGATTCCCTTAGGATATTCAATTCGACCAATTCCATCACCTCTTCCACAAAGGTCTTGACAGACAACACAAGTACAACACTGTTAGTATGGACTGATTTCAATTGAAAAAAAGTCACGGCATTCTTATAAACATAGGGAGGTTGTGATATGACATTGGTTCGATTAGTCCTTGAGGGAAGTTGGGAAGGTCTAGCAATTCTCCACCTCATTAAACCCGTTCTAAAAAGGAAAGGCAAGGAAAACCATCGGTGACATCAGATACTGTCTACTTGCATATTATGAGATTGCATTTCTTCCAAGTTCAAGTGTTGAACAGAAGCTATATTTGCGTCTCAACGTGAATTGAATGCAACCCCGATGAAAATCTTCACCTCTCGAGTTATAGCATCCACATCTTTGGGTAGCCGCAACCAAGATGAGTATGTTAAAGATTCGTGAACAGTCAATTGTGGAGAATGTATGTCCGTTTGTTCCACATAGCCTGCGATACGAGCAAATGTCTTTTGAACCTTGGGATATCCAGATATCCTTATATCTCCTTCAATGTATCCTCCTGTTTTTCTTCCAGCAAGTACATCCATAAGGGTTGTCTTTCCTGCTCCAGAGACACCCATCAGCGCAGTCAACACACCCGGCCTAAACGCCCCGCTAACATTCCGCACGAGCTGGAGCTTGTCAGCAATGACTCCTTCGTCTTTCATATTCTGCAATCAAACCGCATCCATCCTTAAGGTGTAAGCTCACCTCAATGCAGCAGTATCTACCCATGATGCTTCCATAAAAATCTTGATGAAATTTTATGCATCCAACTCAGCATGCAGACCCAGCGAAATGGATCCACTGACGTGTCGTCAACATATCGTCAACTGGAAATGGCTATTGATCATTTTGAGAACTTACAGAGGGCATATCGACATAGTAATTGACGTTATGAAAAGTCAATGCCAAGGGTTTAAAAGGCAAGACCATCCCCTTTTGTCCCTGGCTTTCTTTCTTATGGTTTGCAACAACGACAGCAGTCTGAGAAGGCGCACCATTATGTTCCACACTGTAGAGGTCTTCCATCTGCACCTCTTCTGAAATTTGCAAAATACTTTATAATTAGCTCTGTGCTGCTTATATACACGCTAAACGAGTTTGATTTCATTTTCTTTAGTTTTCTTTTATACCATCTTGAAAAGGAAATTCCATTTTGAATCTCATCGACAACTCGGAGAATGTTCAGGGTTGAATTCATAAAATGCTTAAATTATTTCTCATAGATCATTTACTGTTTAAACTGGTCCTCTGACCTTGCTCTACGTGCACAGTTCTGAATGATTCTCGAAATGAGCTACTGACCTGCTAGGCGAGCATTACGAACACAGTAACCATCACGTATGCTTGCACTCTTTCTTTTAGTGGCAAGTGTACGGCCCTCAACCTTTTCTTTTATAGTATCTTCTGCAACTGTGGCTTGAGGTTTGTCGAGAGCTGCTTAAAGAAAAGGGTTAATTAAGCAACTTAGTAAATCACTAAACTACCTTTCGGGTTGGAACAACGTCCTTCTGTATTTTAAAAAATGTTCAATAATGACAGGAACGACACCGCATCTGATTAGACATCGTACAAAAACTGAATTGGATGACTTACGATTCAAATGTTGGAGAGCAAGAATCGCCAATACATTGAAAACCACGATGTAAACAATAAGAGCAGCGAAACCGATCCAATACCAATACCAACGCGTGAATATTCCTCTACTCTGCAGTAAACTCAAATACAATGGTCGTCCCGTGATTTCACTGATCTGCAACCCCAACAATAAATCTAAGAATGTGAGCTACTGAGTGCAATGGTGAACCAGTGCAGCATAATGACTGTATTTCCTTGGGGAATAACTAAAAATACATGACCCAACAAGGTGCCTTGACCAGGAAATGAAAACATCTATACTGGAACTCGTCAAGGTAGTGTGGAGATTCTTCAAGGATCCAAGGTCGACAAATAGAGTCTTATCATGCACACACATGCGCTCACACACATGTATTTATTGGAATAGATTACCACTGACCTTCTGCCATCGAGGAGCGAGAAATTCATTTACGGCAATAGCATTTTGTGCATAGGAGAGCGGAGAAATCCAATACCCCCATATCCACCAAGGATGTATGTTATCTGCACAATGTATATGAAACAATATCGTCATTTAAGTTGAATTCAAAACAAAATAAACATTTACAGGCCAAACATTTCTTTGAATTTGTAATACAGACTTAGACATGTAGATTAATTGTGAAGCATCGGTTTTTCACCTGTAAGGTCTTGAAAATTGGTGTAAAGATAGCTTGAACTAAACAACAAGAATTGTTTGAACTTTCACAGAACTTTCACGAATATGCTCAAACCAAGGCGACTTAAGTAATATAACTACATTCTCCAGGAATGAATGAATTACCCTTTGAGAGAACAAAGCCGCCCAGCACAAATACGACACACAGGGCAAATGAACCAAATGTGTTGGCAACAACCATGGTTCGCCCAAGTGCACCTAAGAGTCGGAATAGACCGATTGCCATTTGATGCATAAGAAATAAAAGTATCATGTAACGGAAAAACCTGCTAAAACAATCCTTCATTAGTACTGAAAAGATGATAAGTAGAAATGAAAAACTTGAAACACGTCGAATCATTTAGGTCCCGCATTTCAAGCGATGAAAACAAGCACGGATGTTCAGAATCAAATACGAAAAATATGTACTATACATTCGTTCAAGATATCCCGGTTCTTCTGAGAACTTTGCATGAGAAGAAAGACCTGCCAATCTCAATAAGAATGCGAAACTATAAACAGCAAAACAGTTGGATCATGAAACCGTAGAGTTATTACCTGCCAGCCTCTGGGGTGAGCCCCACCGTATAGTAGAGAAGGCATGACCATATCACAGCTTCAACCACTGAATATGGAATACGTAATATCCAGCTTGGAACTGAAAAAGCCCAACCCGGGTAGAAGAAATTGTCCCGTTGTTTGTAAAGAACAGGTAGTCTTGCCACCGTTATGGACATTTCTGAAAACCCGTTGAACATCATGTGCACGAGTGAAAAGAAGAGTGTGCTCAAGTACAACGTCCCATATATCTCATTAGTTGGATGCAACTTTGTCCGAATAAAAAGAGTTGACGCAAGGATTGCAACAAAGGCCACCTACAACATCATATGAATATCTCCAGTAAAGCACATTTTGTCATTTTCCCGAGCATATCAACCAAAGACCCAAAATCCGGGGCAAATATTATGACCTTACAACACTTGCAAAAGAGCACGTTCATTCATGCAAATCTTCTGACGTCTGAATCGAAAATGTTCACCTGACAAGTCCGAAATATATATAAGAATCTGTTGCGCTTGATAAGCAAATACTCCCTCTCCATGCACGCTTTGAAGATATTCCACTTAGACAATGCAAACTTAGTCGCAACAAGGGATGCCGGATGGCTTTTAGATTTGTCAAAGGGCGTAGAAAGCTTCAGATCCAACTCTCTTCCGACGCGATATTCTCTAAACGCATTTGCTAACTCAGCTACGGGAATATATCGATACGGTTTTCCATGGTCATACCAATACTGTTCTTGATCCATTTTCGACGTGACCTGCAGTTCGGAGCATTGTTTGGGTGCAAAAACCATTAGTGGCACAATCGTGACACCAATTTTGAAATTTTTCCTCGCGCAAACCTTACAATTAACGAGTGCAAAACAATTGTGCTGAAGACAGTGCAACCGAAATTAATTGAATAAGCTGATACTGGATCGATTCATGCCCCATCGAAATCCTCAAACGGCTACTTTTACCTCTTGAAGGAAATCTGCGACTCCTTTTCGTGGGGGTATTTTGAAGCCAACTGCTTCAAAAAAGCCCAGTACATCTTCTCTCGGTCCAAGATAGACGATGTGACCTTCAGCGAGTACACAGATGTCATCAAACAGCTCAAAAGTCTCTGGTGCTGGCTGAAGAAGGGCCATGAAAACAGTTCCGTCCATCAGATGCACGAAGTTTCGAGTGCACTTAACAATCTGGTATGTAGTTGAGCTGTCTAAACCAGTGGAGATTTCATCCATGAACAATGTCTTCTTTGGCCCAACAACCATCTCCCCTGCATAAAGAAACATTTCCAAACAAAAGCGAGACTTAGTCGATTAGTATTCATGTCCAACGATTGCTCGTCATTCACACACAATATTGCTAGGGCGCTAAATTATATGCAAACTCTTTGTTGATTTAAGTGGTTTAGGTGGAATAAGAGAAATAGATATTTAGAAAACTGGAAGGGGGTGGGAAGGAAATGTTTGGCACTCAGCCATGCCGACAAGTTTTCGGCTTCTAGTGCATTGTTAGTAAAGTGCAAGTGGATTCAATATTTCAGTTCAGTCATAACAAATGACAGCAAGTTCATCCATGACTAGGAACTAGGAACTTTGCTGAACATTCCTAAAATAAGCCATGCCGAAGGTTACCTGTTGTCACACGTTTCTTCTGACCACCAGAAATACCACGAAGCATTTCATTGCCTACAACAGTGTCGGCACATATTTCAAGGCCCAAAATCTTCATGATGTAATCTGTTGCTGGACTATGTCTTTTTCCTTCCACAGCTGTAGCCTAATAAATGAGCACATTATGCATAAACGATTCAGTTTTCAATTCTAAAGTAGTAATTGTGAACACTAGTGAACCATAAGCTCATAAATTCACATTCACCTTCATGTATGCATCAATATCAGGATCAGGGCGAATGTGGTATTCCTTCTCTCGACGAGCCAGCTCCATCAGCATGTCTACAAGAAATGCCCATATAATATTTCAGGCTTCCATTTCGACGCAAATAATTCATTAGTAAATCTTCTTGAACACTTGAAGCCGACGAATGAAAAGCAACGAAGACATGAAATAACCTTCGATGCCACAGAGTATGGTTTATTACACGTCAAGAATTAATGTCTTCGAAGAGAGCCCAATGACATCGTCTTTCAAATTATCCTAATCATAGAAACGACCTTACGGATAATCCGAAGTAAGGATTCAGGACGGAGAGGTTCATCTCGAGTAAATATGGGTAATATGGGTAGAGAAAACAGACCCTGTTTGTAGCCAACACCCTGACATCGAACTGCAAAATCCAATGTCTCTCGGACGGTAAGCTCTCCAATGTGATTGTCAGTTTGACTTATGTATGAAGACGTTCTTTGAGGAATGAATTCGTCAAACGTATGTCCGTTGTAGGTAATCCTCCCCGAAGTCTGTCATGGATCAAGTCAAATTAGTAAACTACACAATGATTGTGTCGAGAAACAACATGGCTTCACATCAATGGCAGAGGTAGATGCTGGGGCATGCTTGGGGATAGGAACAAAAAACTGTGAATTTTTTTGAATAAACTCGGAAACGGTCTGTCAAACACGTAACACTTTAAAAAAAGCTGATTAATTAGATTTTGATTACTTCATCACTAATTTATATAGCCTGAGAAGTCCAAGAAAGAAATTAAAGAACAAATCGGTCATCCGACGACTTACCCTTAAGGACTTATCAAGCTTTCCAGCCAGGGCTAGTAGGAGAGTTGACTTGCCTGCACCAGGAGGACCTAGAAGCAAGGTCATCCTACAAACAGCAAAACGATTATCTGCGGTTACTGGAACGAACCAAGTTATGAACACAGCAATTTCATGTAATCATAATGGAAGTCCAATAAACAAGTTATTTGAGCAAGAATCAATTCACAGGCTTCACTTCCTAATTCATGTGTTGTTGTGCCCTGAAGCGAAATTAAAGTAACGAGAAATTGTGAGTAAAGGGATAAGAATGTGCCTTGCCACAACTTGTGAAAGGGAAACTACGTTATGTTATTGAGATGGTAACCACCAGTAGCTTAAATAATTGCAGAAAAGCTTACCTGCAAGGTCTAATGACACCTGAAAGAGCATGTAAAATTGGAAAGTCCCGCTTAATCTTAGGGGAAATCCCAAAGTGTGACAGAAAACCCTGCAATAAGCAGTCGTCCTATTAAAATCAGATAGCTAGAAATGTTTGAACAGTTCAGTGGAAAAATCTTCAAATCAATGGCAATTTTATCAAATTTATAGATACACTGACGGACTAGACACATACCTCAACAATATTTCGAGTAAAATTAGTTAAACTTGGCAGCGCCCGATTACCGACGTGGACATCTGCATTGACGCACAAATCCTCAAACCGTACTTCAACGGAAGGTAATTGTAAGCCCACTCTGCAGAAACGGATATCTGACTATTAGTGGACTGAAATAAAGAAGGTGAAGGAGCTTCACATCCGAATGTAACTGCCAATAAACGAATCGCAATGGCAGCTGTAAACACTCCAAATGTATTCTTGAACACTACAATCGTTTCAGCTTTAAACATGGAGTCGATGAACCGCCAGCAGCAAGAAACTGGAATTAAAACATGCGACTCAACTTGGTAAGACACATCCTCGAGCATTTGCAGCAATAACAACTTTTGAAAATTACTTTTTCACAGCAAGTAACATCAAGGACTCAAGGAGAAGAGTGCTAGGGTCCTAACCGAAGCAGACGTTCCTTGACCTTGGAAAGAAATCGCTCATTGTCCTGCTCGCTGGTAGCCAAAGCTTTTTCCACAAGAATTGACCTCTGTCCTTCGCCCAAACGTCTTGCATTGATAGCTCCACGACTCGCCAGAGAACCTCCTTCAGAATCAAGAATCACCGTGTGGAGGCGGTGGTTTGTAGGCAGCTTCTCAAGCGCAGCCCATTCAAGTTCCTGCTGATCGTCTGATTCCCGACAGCTTGTGCTTCTAAACGCACCTTGACCGCTATCTGCATCAGACCAATTTCTGAATCCTCCATGTCTTCTTTCAAACCAGAAATCTCCCTCTGGCGCCGTGGATTCTGCCATCTTTCACCAGTTCTGTAATCCACAAATTCTACGATGTCTCCTTACAGAATCAGTTCGTGTCTAGATTGTAGTGCCCTTACATAATTAATATCAAATCTAACAACGCACTTCAGACCCCCGGCTGCAATCAATCGAAACAATATGAATTATTCAATTAATTTCCCGGCTCCTCGTTTAAATCAAAACACTTCTAAGTTTCTGGGGACCAATTCTCACTGTCAACAGCAACTCAACAGCAACCTGGTCGCAATCTTGCAACATTCATAAAACTCCTGCACTTAACATGGAATGCTCCTCAGGAACCAAGAAATCTCCGGCCAAAGATCAAGCAAGAAATTACCACATGCCCCGCACTTCACAAGCGTATGAATAACCAGAAACGCCGCCGGAGCGTAAGACGAGTCCACTAAGTCCTGGAATGAAAGAAGACGAAGCCCGATGCGATCAAGATTCTCAGTATTAATGAACTGCTTCATGAAGAAAAGGTGGCGGCAAGTTTGAAGCGCAAAGGACGAGCGAACATCCCAAGCAAAGAAGCACTCATTCACTCACAGTGTGCCACCTCGCGTCACCGTTGGTGGTGACGAGCACCTGTGCTCTTTCCCAACTGCAAAGACAAGCGGAATGACGGAAAACAGCATCGTCGTCACGCCGTCGCCCTGTGTCGTCAAGCTTCATCACCGCATCATCTTCTCAGTGCTGGCTGGCGGCTTTTTCGTCCTTGAGAGGAGGCCAGCCTATTTGTGGCTTCCTCAACAGGAGTTGACTCTTGTCGAGCTTCCTGTTCGGGTTTTGGTTGGATGTCATCCAACTCCCCAAAATTCATCCATTATCATAAATCTTCATTCATCGAAACTCACGTGGTGCATGGTATAGTATTGCTGCTGTCATACAGCAACCTGGGATATTAGAATGGAGAAGATATTTAAAATATATATATAATTTTTAAATTAAATAAAGTAAATATAAGACGGTGGTTTTTTAATGATTTATAATGAATGATGGAAATTTTATCAATAAAAAATAATTTTGATTGTATAATATCATTTATTTATATTTATATATAGTAGTGGGAACCCATGTTGTTGGCATGAAAAAACATTGTAAACTACATGTTGTAAATTAATCTATTGTTTGAAGCTTCATATGACATGAAACTTCATGTTGCATGCCATTTCACTTTGTTTTATGTTGTTCCATGTTGTGGTGTTTTTGAGCTCCACACCTAGTGATCTTGTAGTGCTACTCTCATCAATTTGCAGTAATAGCATGCAGATTTTGATATCTAATTGATTAAAAGTTGAGTTATTGCTTTACTTTTGATGAAAACAATGAGATATGTAGTCAATTAGAGATTTTTTTTTGTCTCCTATGGTTTATATTATGAGTTGTTTTATACAAGAGATATATACATAAGTATCTCAACATTGTCATTTATTCTATATTTTTTGCAATCTCTTCAATTCATCATATAAATAGACTTTGAATATTAAAAAACACTAATAATATTTTTGAAACATTTTAGTGGCAAGCTTTTATTGCCAATGTTATCATGACATAAAAGTGATTTAGATACAAGTTTAAATGAATGGTTACTAAAATATTTATTCTACAATAGTTTTCAAAGACACAACTTAATGTGCTACGAAAATACTTTATTACATAGAGTATAGATGCAAAATTATTTAATTTAAATAAATAAATAAATAAAACCATCACTAAATTATATTACATTTTTCTGTATTTGAGATGGTATTCACATATTCAAGAAACATAGAACTTGAACTATTCCATGCTCATACATTAAAGAATAAAATCATGTAGAAGTTGTGTTATACATCCATACAAATATCCACTTTATGTTGGACATTTTGAACAGGCTCTTATTTGCTTCAGCTTGAATGATGAATTGAAGGTTAGACACATACCTCAACCTTACAAACTAACATGCAACTAATGTAAGTGGCATTGGTTTTGGTAGATCTCAAGAAGAAAATAGACAGCAGGGGTGGAATTGAAATGGCATGCGGGGGAGGGGAGAGCCCCGCAATGGTGTGAGGTCTTTGTCCAGTTGACAACTGGTTCTGTCAGAGTTCAGTCTTACAGCTTGGATGCTTTTCAATTTGGGCTGTCTTTGTTCCTCCAAGGTGAACAGTTATGGCTTACCCACCATGTTAAACTCATGTACATTATTGAGACCATCATCTTTTTTCTCCCAACTCCAAGAATAGACCTTGCTTGATCTAGCCATGTGACCCAACAAAGAGCATCCTGCACAGATGGTTACTCCTTTCCTCTTTTCTCTCACATATTCTGGAAAAGCTTTTAAAATGGAATTGTGTTGCCTTCCTCCTCTCTACTGCACTTGTTCTTGCTCCCCAAGCAGAAAGATTTCAACCACCTCAGAAACCAGCCACGATCTATCAGAAGATGGTAACCATAACAAAGCTGGAATTTAAGCCCACAGAAATGGAAAATCCAGTGGTGACCTCTCTCTCTCGACTTGCCCAATCTTTCAGCGGAACGTCGAAGTAGTTGCCAGGTGTGGAACGAAAGCTGGGGCTAGACAGACGACGCAATCAACTGTTGTGTGTGTGATTCTGTTTGTTTGTTGTTGATGAAAGCACTGTAACGGTTCTGGAAGGAGTTCGACTCTTGCACAACAATCAACGAGGGAAGAAAAGCCCAACTGGTATACAAACTTCAGTCAACAAGCTGACCACACCCACACGCACAGCAGCAGTAGCAACTTCAACCAAGGACAGAACCCTGGAAGTTGCTGATCCCACAGATTCCTCACCTGCCCTCTCAAGCTAAGGGCGGAGCCACGCACGTAACCTCACAGCGTTGTTGTTTAAAGCGTGACGGTTTGAAGCATATCACGGCCATTCTTGTGGCAGAATCACAACATCCTTCTTTGGTTGCCAGGCTGCTAAAAGAGTGCACATGGTGTACTGGCCTCATTTAGTGCATCCTCTTCCAGGAATACTGCAGTTTCTGAGTTCAATGGAAGTGCATGGCTTCTGCGAGAAGTCTTCTTAGTGATTCAAATGTTATGCGGCTGCTTCAAAAGTTGATAATCCGCAGGAATACTACGCTGTTTGTGTCGTGGTCATTCCTCAGGAAGGGTGTCGAAAAAGTATCTGGATCACTCTTTAGGAGTTATTTTATAGATCCGAGTTCTCTAAAATTGGGGGAAACTGTAAATAATAAGAAGCAAAATAGTATTGGTTTCTGCAAAAGCACGAAATAACTGTGGTCACTACAATTATTTTCCACTAGTCACCAACAGCCCCCTTTCCCTCTTCCAAAATTAAAGACAGAAAAATAATAATAATAATAAAAATTAAAAAAAGAGGGAGGGAGAAAAAAGGAGGCAAATACAAGAGGAAAAGAAAAGAAAAGAAAGACAGAGAACAATCATGAATGATGTATGGTTCATTTATGATGATTGTGCTGCTGCAAGTGACCATAAAATAAATAAAATCAATACGTGTACGGCCTATACGAAACTACAAACAATTCAGGTGATTTTGAGGATTGTATCCGTTTTATAGAACTCCATCATGATTACGTCTAAAGTTCACTAAACATTTGAGTGAAGTACTTTCTCAAAATCACAATTTTACAACTTGCAAACACAGAAAACGTTGATATGAGGAGGAAAGGACGAAATTTCAATTGACACAATGAGATTCTTGTTTGTGAGGGAAAGGTGTGTGAAGAAGATCCAATTAGATCTAAATGCAAGAATAAACAAATAACGAAATAATTACAAGCTGAGGGATAAGTAACACTACAAATTCTCTGGTTACAAGGGGAAACTCACAAAAGATGACAAAATATAATATACACAAAATGAGTTCATTACGCAATTGACTGTTTCAAGAGAAGTTCAAATTTGATACTTCAATTTAAATGTTTTGGGTAGATACTAGTGTCCATAACAATTGGTTGGTTCCGATGAATCCAACATAAATAATATTACCATATCAATTAAGTATCAGGCTTCTCGTACTGCCGGCAAAGGATGTTCACTGCTCATATGCGCTTCAGCGTGTTCCTTCAGATATTCCTTGCTGTGCATTTCTGTCAATCTGTAAACGTGATTTCCAGCATCGTAACAGACCAGTGCCAAAAGATCAGAAACACACATACTAGCATGCAAAGGAGAAACACAGGCTTATCTTCATCACAAATGGAGTTCATGACTTTGATCCTACTTGGATAAATATATGAAGAAAGCCGAATAAGACGCAGAATCAAATATGACGCGCAGGTTGAATCTCAAACCTGCTCATTGTGCGGTCCTTTGCAAATCCAAGTTCATCATCTACCAATAAGTCTGCGTCCTCGTGACGAGTGGAGCGAGTGTCATCCTTGAATTGAGGAGCATCGGCTCGAGTCACTATCTTTTCAAATAGCTCTTTAGGTGTCCCCTCCGCTGAGCACATAAACCGTGCCCTGTGATCATACATCACCTGTAGAGATATCAGGAAAAATCAGAAATGTGCAAAGCTTGTAGAGTAGTAGGGCCTGCAGCTTCTTGTCGAACTTCATTGTTTGATGCTGCCCCAGCTCTTCTCCCACCCTTTTGTAATTCAGACCCACAATTTAATATTTGACCAATAGCGGTAAATTTCACTTCACTGACCCGCCCTACACTCTACGCACTCTTTCAACCTACCCGCTATGCATCACTGAAATAGAATTTATTTCTATGAAATTTCGAAGAGTTACTTACATCTACTAGGGTAACAAACCGATACCCTGCTGATCGGTTGTGAGAACCTAATATAGGGACGTTGTCTAATGCCAACGTATGGAAGTTTTCTGTAACCATGCCACACAAAAAGCTTAGTCATTCCAATATAGTTCCACCATTAAACGTGGTAGCTCTAGGAAATGTTAGACATGTAAAGATGCACGATAACCAATAGTTCACATGTTTTTACTGGAGACAGCGTGTTGAGTACACTGCATAAGATAGACTTAGCATAAACAGCAGTAAATCTTGACATATCACAGAGGTCGTCTTATCAAAAAGAGTGAATCTTCTGACTAAAAGAAAACCCCCCATATGATTCAACTGGGCCTCCAAGAATGTCTCTGGCGTTAAATCATGTAAAGCTATAGATCAAACTCTCCTATCTCATGACCAACGAAGCATTACTAAAATGTAAACAAGAACCACTCACTGAACAGCCCGAAGAAGTCCGCAGCACCCAAAGGCATCTCACATAGCTCGTGAAACTGGAAATAGGCACAGCCTGCACCTGCCATAGGGACCTACAAACATATTCACGAGTTGATAAAATTCAAATTGTGAACAAGATTCTCAAAATTAAAAGGATAATTTGAATTTAAAAAATCATTTAAATAATAATAGGATAAAACATCTCATTTCTAACACGATGGGATCGTACATGTAATTTTCTGCCCATGATAACTTCTACCGTCGTTGGATTGGCTTCCTCTCCATCTAACTCAGCCAAAAACACCTTTCGTAAAGTTTCAGAAGCTCCAGGTCCCATGAAATAAAACCCAGTCTCAGCCTATTCAAGTAACAGCAATTCTTCAATCAGGTTCAGATAGTGACCATAAAAGGAACAGAAACACTTCGCGTATACAGGCTACCAAGCATTCAGAAAGGTCTCATTTTAATTGAAGAAGTCTTTTCCCCAATAAAGGATCCTAAGTTCTAGAAGGGTTTTTGGTAGGTTTTGATTGCAAAGCATCCTGGTGAAAATCGTGTTTGTGTGGACATAGTTAAGAGGATATCACTGTCTTACAGCTGTCAATCTTCGATAGTCAGTAACTGAGCCTATTTGATGGATCACACAGCGCTCCTGCAAACCACAACAAGAGCTTTGCTGACTTACAGTACAGAGAAAAGCTAAAAAAAGAACAGTCTGCAATTCACCAAACTGAAAGATGTGCGCCAGCGTTTAAGTTTTTGATATGTCTTACATACTTTGAGCTTTGCAATAAACGGTAGAAATAGATCCCGTTGCAATCCACCCTCATAAAGCTTCTCAGGTGCCCTGTTAGAGGTTGCCACCATTACCTACCACATCAGTTCTCCATGTCAGCTTTACTCTGCGAACATATCCAGCACTGCTTACCTTATTTCAACTTCAAAATTTCAATATCGAGTAATAAACGGCTGCCATAAATTTTCGACAACAAATTAAACGTGCCAAAGTTGCAGATTTTCTAACATAAGCAACTAAAGTCTGCAGAAACTCACAATTCCATGTCTAAATAAATGCTCAAAGAGTCGATTCAAAATGAGAGCATCGGCTACATCTGTAACCTGTACACGATCGACTAACCCACAATCAATACCTTAGAATGCACCAACACCACATGAACAAATATCACTACGAGTGTTACTATGCAGAGTGCAACATGCCAAAGCTTAATAGTCAATGCAATAACTGCATATCAAGCAAACTGAGCCCTATTTTACGAGCACTCCAAACGCTGAATATTTCAACACAGGACAAGCCGGAAGAGACAAACCATGAATTCGTCAATACATATTAAGATCGATTCTTCAGCAATTTCCTCGGCTACCATGTCTAGTGGATCAGTCATACCTCGGCTCCTCTGCGAACACAAGTGCCATGTAATATATTTAACCCATCGTTCAGCATGACCACAAAATAAACCGGAAAAGACGCAAACCAAAAAACCGATCGAAACAGCTCTAGAATTCAAATCATCAATAATCCTACCCTAAGAAGACCACACAGGAACCACTTTTCTATTCATGATAGCCGTCCCTACTGTGGCCAGGTTCAGGGATCAAACCACAGCTTACTTGTAAACGGCTATGAATATTTAACATGAAATCGTGGAAGTGAATCCGTTTCTTCCTCCATGTTTTGGGTCTATCGTCAAAAACACCCCCAGATTATCCAATTAGTGGATGATACTAAATTGCCATAATACACCTTTGAGCGGCCACCGAATAAACAGAACTAAGCGACCTGACTACGGAAAGCTTGTAGTTCAGCCTCCAATAACAAATCGAACACTTACAACTGTTCATAAAACATGTCCATGACCATGGTCTTTCCCGTTCCAACACCGCCGTACAAGTAAAGCCCTCGTGGAGATTTAGTTACAGACTTGGACACAAAATGCTTGAACAGCCAACCCCCTCCACTGCACGCAAATTCCAAACCCTTCGCACGACGTCAGTCCCTTCATCTGCTGTATTTCTCTGAGATCATATCAAAACTTTTTCTTACCTCTCTTTCCAGTTTAACTCGACCATGAGAAAGTCCTTGAAGGTGAAAGTCAACCTGTTCCGTTGAGAACTGCGAGGCGTATTCTTCTCCAGCCCAATATCAGGTGCATCTCTCATCAGATTTTCGTACAATTCTTGAAGTTCCATCAATGCCCTTTCCTGCTCCCATGACACAAATCGTTCATCTCAGTTGGTGCTTTTATTGGCAATTACCCCATGACTTGCGATGCAACCCTTAACTAATCGAATGAACAACATACTTCATTTGAACATAGCTCGTCATCGCTGGAACTTTCAACGATGCTGTAATGTCAATCAGCATCCAAAATCAGTAAGTGCACGTGCTTCGTTCGCAAGACATGAGCTGGAGTAAAAACTTTCCAAAAATACCTGGAATTTATCGCCAGGTTTCAACCCTCCAGTAGCAATCCGGTGTTCGTATTCTGCTAGCGGACCTGGTTTATACTCATCAACTGAACCTCCACCCCCCAAAGTCCAATTAAAGCAAATGGAATTTCAGTACTTCGTCAACACCATATTTAAAACATAAAATGTACAGAAATACGCTCTGTACTTTGAAATTCACAAGCATATCACCACCACCTATGCTTAAAAAGGAATGATTATGAACTGTAAAAAATTGCATTAAGGATCAAGTCAAAATCATCTAAAAATGCCACGCACCAGATTCTGAAGCTTCGACATGGGTGAACAGGCCCCTAATTGCAAAAGTATAGGTTTCCTGCAAGCCATGACTAGCAGCAACCTCTGCGCACTTCCAATGACCTGCACGTGAGTAGGGCTTCCTGTCACGAGAAAGTTCTGCTACAGACACTGCTCGTGGGTGGCATCGCCGCCAGTCAAACAGCTTGTGCGGCACTCGAGCGCGCACCGCGCGAGCCACCGCTCGCATCGTCCCACATAAAAAGCACGCAGTCTTGTTTCTCTTCTGTCGATTCTCGAAGCTTAACACAACGCGGATCCTCACAAACGACGAGCTGCAGAGCAGAGGTATGAAGTGATGAGCAACCGCTCCGGATGCAACCATAAGAAAAAAAAAAAAAAAAAAAAAAAAAAAATTGCCAAAGAGATACGTAATCGTCAAAACACGAACACAGTCTAGGAGGCCACCACCAAAGTGTAAGGTCAGAGACACGATCAAGCGAGGGAAAGCTAGGCACAGGCAACATTAACGTCTTTCATCATCGAAACTGGCTCCAAAGACGAGACACACAACATCAATACTTCGAAAACACTCAGTCAAACACTCCTGGGCGTCTCAACCGAAGCGCACAAGCTCCACAAAAACACCACCAACTCACTCAAGTTTCAAGCTTGCAATCAGAATACCACCGAATTCGCCGCCTACTCCTGCATCATCAGCACAAAACTAAAGCCACACCAGTCCATTGATCCCCACAAGCAATTTTCGACCCTCACCAAGACCAAACCACGCCGATCCCCGAAGAAACCAGCCTACAAACCTCGAATGCTACAGCCCACGAAAACCTCGTCCGAACATGCACCAACACGCAACACTATGAACCTGGGACGGCACGCTAGCAAGAGGGGGAACGCACCCGTCAGCGGCTGAAGTTCAAGCAGCAAGCAACACAGTGATTGCTGCTGGTTGACTGGTATTCTAAACTAAGTTGTGATGGCGAAGAATGACCCAGAGCCCAATAAGGAACAGAAGTAAGTCCACAGTGATTTGCGTTTTACTGCTGTGCAGGAGTTGTAAACAATCAAACAGGTTCCAGCACAGTGATGCTGATCGGAAGTCCCACCTGGACGTTGGGGATGACGATAGAGGAGGAATCGCGGTGAGCGGGAGCGCAAATTCCCAGAGTTCTCGTGAAAAGGGAACTCGCAGGCAAGCAGTTCTCCCCATTCGGCGCCGCAAGTGGTGGGGATGAGGAGCGAGACTTGGTGGGACTGCCACCCTGGGGTCGGTCATAAGGGGCCCACTTTGCCACATAGGACATACAAGTGGACTTCTTCGCTAGGGCAGCGGGCAGGGAGACACTTCTGTGCAGTTCATCCTCTTCCCTGCCCGCCCCCCCCCCTTCCCCCTTTCAGAAGCTTGGACATGTATGTGGTGTGGATATTTTGATGGTTCTTTTCCTTGGCTAGTACATTTTTTGCCAAGTGTACTCCTTGTCTCTCGAGACGAAGAACCCTACCCAACAACAATATCGATAATTACCCATTGGACAAAACACTATTTGTAGGGAAAAAAAAAAAAAAAAGAAAAAAAAAAAGGTGAATTGTGGAATAAAAATTGTTTGTTTACTTTGGTGTGGTTTTGTTATTTATCCAAAACTTTGATTTTATAATTTTGTGAACAGCTTTTTGAGTAATCTTCTCGAGGGCACTTTCTGGAATCATCAACAAATGGAACTATTTTGCAATCAGTGTTGACATGTGAAGTCAAATCTTTTTCTGGTTTTCTATATATCTTCACTTTGCCTGCTTTGTGCATTTATGGTCATCGAGTGAAATCTCGGGAAATGACATTTACATAGTAAATTATTATTACTATTATGTTGAGTATTTTTAATAAAGAGGGTTAATTTAGTATACAAGTACATAAATAAACCATTTTCATGTAAGGAAATCTATAGACATTTTTTTAATTTAGTTGATGGACAATTAAACATGAAATTTTTTAATTTATATAATTTTTAATTTTTAATTTTTAAATAATTAATTTTTGAAATGATTTTTAATTTTTAATTTTTAATTGAAATAATTTTTAATTTAGTTGTAAGGAAAACTTTTTTTGAAAATTTTACTGTCATATATTTATATTTAATAATTCCACTTCAAACCTCAAATAAGAAAACAATCATGCAAAATGCAAACACTTTTTCATCTTCCTTTTAGTACTGAACACAAAAATAAGAAAGAAAGAAAAAATAAAAATAAAAAAATAAAAAAATGTTTTAGAATAATTCAAAATATTGTTGATGATATTTTGAAAAAACCTTAAAGTTAAAAATAATTTTTTTAACTAAATGTTAGTTATGTTCTGAATAGTTGGGTGACATGCAAAAATATTATTTTATCAAGAAATAATAGTTGTAAAAAATCATTTAATGTAAAGAAATGATATCAGTGGAATTAAAATGATAGATTATGCATAATCGTGAATTATTTCTTCTTCTTGGGTAATAATTAAAATTATATAATTATAAATCTCAATAAAAAAAATATTTAAAGAATCCATCTATATGCACTTATTATTATTGACCAAAAAATACTTATATCCAACATCTATTGTAGTCATTTTTTGAGTATGGCTTGTTAGAAGCCAACTACAGAAAAGAATTTGTATGTATGTATATATATATATATATATATATAAACTCTTTGTGTTCCTAAAACTATTAAAATTCATATATGATAAAATAAATTTATGTATTTTTTATTAATATTTTTTTCAAATTTTTGAACTTTGTCCAGCAAAACTCATATAATGTCCTTTGAAATCAAGTTCTATCTTATATTTTTGAAATTTATTCCAACCTAATCATTGAATTCAAACTTTAAAAGTCTCAGTGGATAATTATCATACATGCATTTGTAATCCTAATTATTATTTCTGCCCAATATGTAAGTTTTTAAATCTTTTAGTAAAATCCTTTTATTTCTTGCATCCAAATCATAAAACAATTAGAATTTTAATACTATATGTCTGACTTAAGACATGTGTTATTTATAAAGTTTGTAAGCCATATACTAGAAGATTTTTGATTTGATAAATTTGTGCACACCTTCTGAACAAATTGGATAGTTTAAAACTGCGTAATAAATGCTAAAGCACTTGTAAATTAAGGTTTTTAATAAATTTCTTTTAATTTTTTCAGGAAATTGTTAAAAAACTTGATCTTATTAAAAATTTGTCTAAGTTTTTAGTTACATAATAAAAATTTGGGTCCAATTTTACCATATCTTTTATCTTTTATTTTTTCTTTGATATGTATCCTTAAAAATGTAGTATGTTGAATTGACTTGGTATTTTAGTCTAAGGAATTTATCTTATTATTGTGGAATTAATTTCCACTTCTTGACCTAATAATTTAAATCCTATGTAAGCAACGTATTAAGTAGCTCGTCTTTAAGATATTCTTATTCTTTTATGGATTTATTGCTCAATGCATAAGAAAATATAATCATAGCAGCAAGTATTTTAAAGGTTTTATAAAATTTATTCTGTAACATGATATATATTATAATTATAAAAAATACATAATTAAAAATTAGTACTTGATTTTTTAGATTGAGTTATCTAAGTCATAGATATTAGGTCTTTTTCCAACCTTTTGTATAAAAAAATGGTTAATTGTGAATTATTTTATTCCAATATTAGACAAATTTTATTACAATTTATCAATTATTTTTATATTTGACCATTCATACCTTTATTTTCTTATCTACAATGGTTCTTTTTTCTTAAATATTACATTAATAATAATTATTGATAATTTTATATTTATTAAAAAATAAAATTTATTTTTCCTAAGCTAATATATGTAATATGGTAGACTTAATAAATAATTTAAATTATTCCCTTGGATTTACAATGAAAGCAAGGACATTATTATATACTTCTCCATGGTAGGAGGAAGTAGGTAGAATTGTCTTCTCATAGCTTGGAATACATGTTGTTTGGTGGGGCTAATAATATTTTTTTGATACTCTTTGAATTTTTTGGTGTCTCTAACAATATCTTTTTAAAGTTGCAATTAAATTATAACATTACATTCTTGGTTATTATTTAATTATCCAAAATATTATCTTTGTCAATGTTTAAAGGTTTTAAAAATCAATTCACAAAATAAAATAGAATTTAAAGATTATAGCCTATTTAAGAATAAAATAAAAGATGAATATTGACAAGATTAAAGGTAATCTTAATTTTTCTACTATTTATTCTTACCTAGAAAAAAGATATAAATTACAAGAATTCATAGAATTTAAATAAACAAAAGATATGTATTCAAATAAAATAGCAAATGAAAAGAGAAAAGATATGAGTTTAAGAGGAAATTGGAATATTTATTGCTAAAAAGATAAAAACTAAAGACTCTTAAAACTAAAATAAAAACAAGAAATACTTGATAAAAGTGAATAAGATCTTATTCTTATCTCTATATATATTATTTAAGTAAGGAACTATATAATAACATTTTATAAGCAACATAATACTTATCTAGCTTGCAAGACACATATCTAACTTGTAAGATAAGTTTCTAATATATTTGCACATCATAAAAAAATTGGCTATGTTTGCAACCTAATAATTATCTACAAACACATATAAAGTTAAATTTTTATCTATAAAGCTTGTAAAAATATTTTTAAGGAGATATTAAAAATATAATATAATATAATTTATTTTACCTTATTTTATTTATTTCTACCTTATCCTATTTAATTATAATTTTTAAAATAAATATATTAAAATTTCATGATATTATCTATCCTACTAAGCAAAAAATTCTATGAAAAGTTGTAAATTTGATTCATAAATTGATAAAGTCCAACATTTGTCAAGTAATATTAGGAAAAAATTCTATTTATGTTTTGCACAAATGTGATTGATAGATCCTTTGTACCATTAATAATGTTCCATATCAAAGTAAGAAGACCGCCCAATTATGTAATTATTATTGAGGCCTAAATTACTATCTTCAAACAATATAATTTGCATACTATCAAGTATAATATCCACCTCCAATAGTATCACTAAGTATCAAGAGTCTCTTTCAAGACTAGAATACTAAAAACAGAATATCTTACTAACTTTTTTAAGAAGAATATTATCTATCTTAACAATCTTTATTAGAATTTCAATGTTGTTTATATTAAGATAAATTAAAATTTTTATTTAATAATTTCATATAAAAAAGTAATTATATATTATTACAAACTTTAAAATGAGATTATTCATTTTCATAAACATGTGTGATGATCTTTTATCATCCTCGAGCTTCTTTTAATTGTACATTCATTATTGTATATAGCTTTAATAAAAAAATTGCAAAATCTCTTGTCATAAATTTATCAACTTTTGAAATGTTAAAAATATAAAACTATAGATGATAATCATACTTAATATAAAATTTTAATTATGGATTAAAAGAATATATAATATTATTATAAAAATATTCTAATAATAATAAAAGAGTTTTTAAATTAATTTAATTATATTTAATATTACATTATAAATATTATTCTAATACTTAATTCACTTTCTTTGTTTGTCTATCAATTTAAAGATAAAAAACTAGATTAATTTTATATAGATTCATCATAAAATTATCATTTGAAATGATATATAAAAAAAATCAACTTGAGTTGTATAGAATATATATTTTTTTATCTTGAAAAATAATCTTGTAATCTCTAAATTTATTTATTATATAAAAAAAAAAAAAAAAATTGTACTTTTTTAATAGACCAAACTATTGTCTAAATAACAATTATTAACAATTGTCTAAACATCAATTTGGTTGTTTTAGAATTATAATCTACTAATTTATTGGAGATATTTTTAG